TATAGATATAGATATAGATATAGATATAGATATAGATATATAAGCATGTTTTGAAGTGTTTTAGGTTTTAGGTGTTCCAGAGCTCACTTAAAACTGAACTTGTGTTGACTTGTGTGCACACAAAGTGAGTGCAGAAACACCTTGAGGCACAGCCATAAAACTTCCCTTTGATCCTGCAATTATGATTTATAATAGCAGGTGTACAGCATCAACTTTACCTCACTCTATTCCAGGTAGGATGAGTAATAAGGATGAAACTTACCAGAACAACCAGTGATTACAGTCATAAAAATAAAGGCTAAATAAAGGCTAAACCTTTTGGGTCATATATTTTATTTGGAAAAATCCACATCTATCTGCAACAACCTGAGATTCTTTTGTCCCGTTAAAGACCCCAAAGAACAATTTCAATGATGATTTCATTATAGAAAATATTGTGTTTTTTGCCTTCCATACCACATGATTCACCACATCATAATTTAGGTCAGACACCAATGCTTATGACGCACTGCATAAAACACCTATGAGCTGTTATAAGACATTAAATGAACAAAGACATTACATCAGTCTATTTCTTAGAAAGCTTCCTAACACTTTGACTTTAGCTTGTGTTGCGTTTTATACGAGGTCACAGAGAGCTGTGCCATCTTACAGCTGAACACATACCTTACTGTACTGATGGGGCATCTTTAAAGGATTTTCTATTTATAGTCCAGCATATCCTGTCTTTTTTCTAATGCTCCTATTTCCTGAGCATCTTTTTCTCCAGCAGCAGAAGGCTCTGGTAGTTTTGTCTATCTGTCCAAAGGTATGCACGTTAGCTTAACTGGTGATACTAAATTAGCACTAGGTGTGGATGCAAGGTAGCTAAAGCAGAATAACGTCTGGTGTGAAAAAACTTGCTGTGGCTTTTAGTGGAAACTGTTTTGAGTGGTCAGTAAGCCTTAAAGAAAGCACCATATAATTGTCGATCCTTTCTGTTTGCCTTTGTTTCTCGCTCTAAGGATTCATATTCCTGGATTGATTCTTGCTGTATTCTATGGAGAGAGAGTTAACAAGATAAACCCGAGGGCTCAAAGCAATGAGAGGAACATCTAAGCTAGTGAAGAATAACTGGGTGGCAAGAGGAATTTATTTAAATCAACTGTCAATTTACTGACATTAACAACAAAAGTCAAGGACACTGCAACTCATGAGAATTATTGTTTTGCAGAGGAAAATGGTTTAACTGTAAATGTGTGAATACTTGATTTAAAATCATCATATAACAACATACAACATTGTGCTGTTACATCACATTTAATAAACTATTAATTTGTTTAGTCATATTATATTACCACTGCATTGTGTTCTATGTTTGCTGTTTAACTAAGATTTACTTTCACCCTTAAAAACTTAATCTTAACCATAACCAGTATAGTTATTAGAACCATTGTAAATATATAATTGATTCCAAAACAACAAACCAAACAACAGGGACTATGATAAACATTATAACCTTCCCAATAAGGGCTTTTATTACAAGGTTATGGAGAAGTGTGGTTAAATGTATGTTTTTCTTTTAGATTCACAAGGAAATTGAAACTACAAGTTACTCTTAAATACATACTCTTATTTTAGGAATGTCTTTTCTTAAGAGGATGGTTTGTAGGAGGATGGCCTTTTGCTACTACACTATAAACACTCATGATTGTGCTCACTGGACCCAAAGGGAAACCCCTTTGGACATCAGTGCCCTCTAGAGGTGAAAAGGAAGATGTCCAGTGGGCTAGTGGAAGCCTCTTGTTTATAAAGTTGGGATTCAAACAGCCTGAATATACTCAGTGCAGATGAATGACATAAGATAAGATGCCTTCACTGTCATTACATACAGTGATACAGTAATATTGCAAGTGGTGTAATAGTGACATAAAAAAATGTATTACATGCATCCATGTATACATCATAATGCAACCGTAGCATAAACTATTTAGAGATACTGAATTCTGATGAGCCTGATCTAGCACAACATTAGAGATTACTTAATGATTACACAGAAACACGTCTGAAAGGCAAAAGATGAGCTTTAATACAGATTTTTGAAAACATGGAAAACATGGGGGGCATTGTAATCATAGCAGGTCTACAAGTTAACTTTATACTTTACAAAAAGATTAAAAGCCTGTTTTGTTTTTCATATTTCGTTTGTTAGATTTTTTTTGTTTTTTGGTGGTTGGGTCTCAAAAGAATTGTGAAGCTTTGTAAAGCCTCACAAATGATGCAACAAACTGATGCAAGGCCCAATAAACAAGACTTTCATTTACAATATTTATTCAAATATATCCCAACACAAAACATAGAAAATACAGATTTACAAATTTATTTAACATTCCTTTGATTATTTAATATCATTTCAATTACTTTCATATATTATAATTTATCATTATTTACATATACTACAGTGTCACATGTAGGACTGGGCACATAATAGTTGCAGTCAAAGTTTCCAGGGTCAGCTGACCAAGCTCTATTTACAATGTTTACAGTTTTTAATCTTCGCAGCCCAATACCAGTGACTAGTTAATGTTAGTGGCACCCACAGCTTCCAGCCACCATGTCATTATACTGTTTTAAAACCACATTCTCATCATCATCAAAGAAGAGCAAGTTGATGGAAAAGAGCTTGTCTGGCACACAGCACGGCATCTCAATGCCTTTCACCAGCTTCAAGGCATTGATGATGGACTGGACAGTGGCGTGGTTGGTTGGTTTCATGGTCTGACCCAGAGGAAAGGAGCAGGAGCCTTTGCAATAGTAAGCGTTGTAACCCTTTGGTGATACGATCCAGCCCGACCAGCCGATCTCCTCGAAGTCTACATTTAGGGGAAACCGCTGGCAGTGCGTGGCTGCACTGTCTGCATCATGGCCCAGAGATCGAGCGCTACGGGAAGGTGGACCGGACATGGGAGTCTGGGGCAGGTTGGAAGTTTCTGCTGTATCATCTGAATCTGGAGAAAGAAATCCACCGTTTTAAAAATGCAATTTTTGAACTGTTACAAAGTACATTCCAAAAATAGAAGAGGAAGCAGTGACACACAAGCAGAAGTAGAAGTTTGAATGTAGAGTGCAGTGGGACACACAAAACACTGGGAGCTTCATTTTTCATCAAGTTGTTGAATTGTAAGCATACTCCCAGTCACAGGCCAGTCGTAGGTGAGTGTTTCCTTCATAAGCATGCTAAATAATGGTTGCACATGTGGATGGAAATATATTCAGCACTGACCTCAGTGGACATTTAGTTCAGTCTTCTATATATAACTATATATATATATATAGTTCTATATATAACTATAAACTAAGGCTGTTGTGCTTATGAATATAGAGACTGGAGGCTAGTTTCCCTTTAACCACTGTAAATCTTATCCACACAGCTACTATCTTCACTTAATATTAATATCACTGGGAGTAACTGACATTAAAGTAGAAATCTCACCTTTGCTCTCAAGAGGATTAGAGTAGCGGCCATCATCAGTAAAGAGAACCAGCATGGGCTGTTTGCTGTGATGGTGGTGGCGCCCTGAGGCAAAGCGGATCAGTTTTTTATCCATTTGGCTCCCTCCCAGTGTCCGAACCACCACTTGAAGTCCCAGGTTGGTGCTCTCATCAACCATCCAGGAGCGCACCTTCAGGAAGAAGGTCATAAGTTTATTTCAGCACTCTACACTATCCAGTGTAGCTCAAAGCAGATCTTTGTGGGCTTTAAAGAGGCGGTGATACTTACTGCGTGTGTGATTGTGAAGACTTCCCAACCAGAGGAGTGCACTGGGATAAGTCGAGAGGAAAGCAGCTTCTTCTGCGTAAAATTGGTTTTGCTGGAGTCAAACAGCTGATAAACACTGACCTGAAAGAGCCAAATTAATGTAGATAGAATTAGAAACAGCCATTCAGCCACTCGGGTTTAAATACTGGTCTAGAGCTGGTCTACATACCTGGCTGAAGTGATGTCTGTTGAACGTCAAGGGTGCCTGAGGTCTCAGCTTATAAAGATGGAGCTCTGCAGCGAGAATCTTCTCTGTTCTTGCGACCATTGACAAATTGAAGCTGAACTCCACCTGATCACTGTACACTGCAAAAGAAATGAGAGGATTAGAGCTCAAATCAGAGTGTCTTCCAAAGCAGCCATCCTGGCACGCATGCGGGGGCACATCAGATCTTACATTTATCAAAGAAGCTGCGCACGGTATTCCCCTCCAGAAGATGCGGATCCTTGGTCACACCGTCCACGTCGGCTACCGCGTTGTACAAATCAAGCATGTACTGAGGGGGCTGTTTGTGTCCATGAATCACAGGGGGATCGTCCATCCCGAAAACCTCCAAAAGTCTCTTTATAGCAGCTGAGCGGGCTTCCTCGGACTCTGTCGCGGGAGTGAACGAGTTCTCCGGGTAGTGGAGCGACACGGCAGCCGCCGTACACAGCAGTGCGGCGAAGCTGATGACAAACTTCAGCATATTTGTGGCCTGAGTAAATTCCCGGTGAGCCAAGTCTTCGATCTGCGAGCTGCGTGGAGTGACAGTGGGATCCGTGAAGGCCGACTTTTATATCAAATGCCCCCGTTTCCTCTCCAGTACCGCCAGGCCCTCAGTAAACAGCAGTAAAGATGCAAATGTAAATCAGCAATGAGCGAATGTAAACGCAGACTAATGGGGGCGTTAAAAGGTGTGAACTTTCCATTCAGCCTGCGTCTGGCAATAAAGGCTCGAATAAACTACCCTCAGCCTACGAAAAGTTTAAATTCTCACTGAAAATACAGTATATGTTTGAATATGTGGTATAATGCATATTTAATAACTAGCAGCCTGGATAATTTTATTAGAGGCAAAAATCTAAACTTGAAGGTGGAATACCTCGGAGGTGATGTCTTGAGGATATGCACTCACAGTGGGGGGTTAACTGCGCCTAAATGAATCAATTCATTTGGAATAGCGGGCGCATTGTGTTAGGTGAAAAAACCATTAGGTTGACAAAAAGGCAAGTATCACACTCACACTCTGTGAGATTTACATAAGCGCTGGTTCAGCTGGATGATCGCTACATTTGCGGTTATGTTTTGGAAAAAGCGCCACAGTATTTTTCTGGGCCAATCAGACCAATCGAAATCATTTTTACTGCACAAATGAGTTATTGTCTGAAACATGACTATGACTGTTATTTGTTCTTGAGCTCTCACTCCTCACTGCGAGGCAAGTGGAGCGGATTCTGCAGGTTTCTTCCGCATTAAGTCGAATAAATAAAATCAATTCAGTTCATTTTTCTGATTTTATATTCAGGAATAATCAACATCATCTTCTTCCACAAAGAAATATTACTTACATATTTCAACTGTAGATGGATTTAGGTCTAAATTATGCGTTAAACATATTATTTCAGAGTTTCTAGGAAACCATTTGCTCCCATTGATCTTTATGCACGATTAACCGCAAAACGCAAACTGAGGCCAAAAAGAGAAATTTGTTTCCCTCGCTGTAATAAACACGTAAAAGATCAAAGTTTTTCTGCATGACACCTTGCAGGCAGGTCATAAAACGTTTCTTTAGATGACAAAGTGGAGTGTTCACATGTTGGTATTAAAACAAAGCGCTACTTGCACGTGTTTTTTCAAAGGGACATTTGCAAAGTTGTTTTTCCTTTTTTTTTGCGCCTCTTTTCCAGGCTTCACCAAAGCTTCTTATTGGAAAAGATAAAGAAAAAAAAAACGTTAAATGTTTTATGATGCATCTGGAGAGGAACACAGACCCAAATATCTTTATATTACATCATGACATTATTAGAATTAGAATTTGTTCTTCATGATATTTCAGATTTAACTGACTCACAACTCATCTCAAAGACTATAGCACAATTATACATTTTTTTCTTAGCTTACATACTTTTTTATACAAATTCTACTAAATATACATGAATTAAAAAGAGGATCACACACTAATTTTTTCAGATTAGATCGTGGATCTTAGACTTAAATCTTTAACTTTTTCCCATCATGTTTCTTTTGCATTCTCAGTATTTGTACAATGCTTTAAGCACAAGTACTCGTTTATTGTTGTATTAAATTTATTTACAAATTTATCTTACATATATTACATATGATACAATAATAAAAATTCACTTTAATATTCACTATTCCGTGGGGTCATCAATGGGCTACAGTAAATATGGGGCCCAACTGTGGCAACCTCTTAAAGTCTTTCAAGTTTGTTTGTTTTTTCCAGCAGACGGGCCTGTGATTAGTTTCGACAATGGCAGGAAGTGATGGACAGGATTGTACGAATCTGCCCATACTGGTTCACAAAGCTGTGGCTCTCATATCCCTGAGGAACACAGGAACTGGACTGTCTCTCGGACCACAAGTGGCAGATTTCTGGATCGGATGGACTCCTGCAACAAAAACACAGAAAAAGACAAAAAGATTAAATCACTAATCACTTTATTGCTATAAGTAGGCAGCATTTCATTTATCTCTCAAAACATTTTTTTTTTTTATAGAAAAATGTACAGAAATAGAACTAAATATAATTTCTGTATCTAGTTTACCATTATTGCCAGTCTGACAATATGTAGAAGTATTTCGTCTCACACATGTTGTACCATTCTGTACAGTACAGTAAGAAAGTTACAATAGGATAATTGTGGATCTTGTTATGTCTATATATGCACAACGTCTTTTCCCTTCATGGAAGAAGAAAGAAGAAAAATATTTGACAAATTTGCCTAAAATTTGTTTCTAAGTAAAAATTAGATTGTTATTTTTTGGGCAAATAACAAACTGAAATCCAGTTTTTAAAATTTAAAATTTGAGCTGGCACACTTGAGTTTGTTAAGAAGAAATTGGTAAAGTAAAGTATTTAACACTGAAGCTGAATTGTCTGCTCAGGAAGGCAAGTTAATAACTGTAAGTCGGCACCTTAATCAAAAAATAATAATGTGCTAAATTTTCCTCCCTTTTTTTGTAAAACAGTAAACTAGAAAATTAATTGATAATATAAATTATTACATGTTATCAACAAAATATGATTTTTGATTAAATTAAATTAGTGAAAATTAGTGAAAATTAGTGAAAACATGAAAAATGCTGAAAAATTCTTAACTTAACCATAAACCTTGCATTGGGTGGTGGCTGAATAAATCTCTTAAATGCTGCACCTCTTTAGCATAATAAATTCTATCTATCGTTTACCTTACAAAGTGTAGGGTAAATTTAGATGGTGGATTTTGTATTATTTTGATATGGTTAAGATAAAGCAGTAACACTGGTTGTCTGCAAACATCTCAAAATAAAGTAGAAGGTGTAAAAAGAACATTTGGTGTAGGAATTAACCCAACAGTCAACATGCTGAGAGCAGAAGGCGTCAGAGCTCACAAGTAATTGTTATGAGGTGTGCATGAGGCAGTGTGGAGCAGCTGTGTTCACACATACCTGAGAAGGCATCGGTTTCCTGTAGTGCAGCTTCCCAAACATCTGCCCACATCTATTTCCTGAAGAAAATTAGCAACAGAGAGAAAGAGGAATCAGCTCACAGCTGCTCGCAAATATTTACCCAGTTGAGTTGGGGTCCAGCTGCTGCTTAGCATGTTTAGCACTGCTTTGATTCACCACCTGCAGAGGCCATTTGTGTTGGTGCTCCACTCGCACCTTTGGTTCTTGGACATGGCAGACTACCCAAACCCAGTCCTCAACTTAAATCCTTACCGTCTATTATATAAATGTGATGTTAAAATCACAGATGCTGACTTACTTTGCAGTTGTACAGGTGGTGGAAAACTTCTTTTTGTGAATTTGGTGTTTAATCTTTATTTGCTTCAGCATGGCATACAAATCTGTGTAATGGTGCTTTCAAATATTTTTTTTCTGATATCAGTAGGGCTGGGAATTAAATAAGTCGTTGTAAAGTGAAACGTTTTGTAAGTGCAAAGAAACAGTGAAGTGTTGTGGGAGTATTGACCTGGTTTCGCCTTCTTTATGCAGTTTAGAAGAAGTTAAAATTATGCCAGAGATTCCTGCTCTCCTACAACAATCAAAGCCTCAAGTCTGTGCTTGTGCATGAATACGCATGCAGGCCATGCTGATTTACTTCACACCCAGGATGCACGGAGCCAGCCAGTGTGTTGTTTTGATTAGGTGCTGTCTTCCACTTATCTGCGGTGAACAAAGATACTTAATTATTGTCTGGCACCTGGCTAGAGCCCCATTTCCTCTTGACCTCACTACAAAAGAGTGTGAAACTGCCACCAAGCGTGAATCCTTCTTGCAGGGTGAACTGTGGCAGGGGGGCTAATGAAAGAAGGAATTATGTTTATTGTGAAGGGCTGGGTTTGAAATTAAAATTGAAGGGTAGGGATTTTGTGGAAAATTACAGTTGTAGTAATAGCTTGTAGGTGACACTTACTTTGAGCTTCTCTTCTTTGACTCCCTCTGCATGGTGGACTGTTTCATAATAATACTCCACGTATCGAACCCTGTAACAGCTTTCCTTCAGCTCACAGGCAGCCACAATCTGTATGAGATCCACTTCGTTAGGGGTTTCCACCAAGGCTGATTCAAACTTTGTGGGGACACAGGAGAATCCATCTGTGAATGATTGATAATAAAAGTAACAGGATTATGATCTGTGATGGGAAGCAGAAATGATGTCGTCTGGTCCCTGAAGCAGAATTCTAATACTTTTTTTTTGATAAGGTGCATAAAGGGGAAACATCTCTTCATCAACCATGTGTGGGGCTTTTTTTTCAGACCTCTCTAACTCAAAATTACATAGGCAATGTCAATTAAACTGTAGCTATCAGGTTACCCATTAATATTATATGTGTGTTGAATCTATGTTCATTAATTTATTTCAGAATTATTACTGATTAACTTCCTGACACTTAGTATGCACTAAATAGAAAAATACTTTTGCCCTACAAAGTGGGACAAAAGGTAAACTCACTGTTTCCAAATCAGTCATTTGGAATTTTACTGGCGGCTTCATGCTCGCTTAAACACGTCTTCCTCGTGTTTTTTTGTCTGTTGTTGTTTTAGGCATGTAATCCCCCACCACCACCACACACACACACCTGGGGATCCTTTCGACTGGGAACATCCTCCCACGTCAATGACTGTCTCATACGGTGTTTCAGAGAAGTATGTCCTCAGTCCGGGAACTCGGATGCACTGGGCCAGCTTGATCTCACAGTGACAGTCCTCGATGACCGCCACCTCTCGATGTCCCTCGAACAGAAGAAGCCGATCCACGCGCATCCCAGTCGGCTCACACACCTGAGTCACGCCGCATGAAGGCAGGTGGTTCAGCGGACCTGCGCTCTGTGAAGCAGCGGGTCCACGTGTCCTCGTCTTTATTGAGCCAAGGGGAAATTATTGTTTGAATCAGACCGGTAGAAACATGTTCCCATGTACTCACCTGCGCGTTTATTGTAGTTTCAGACTTATGAGAGTATAAGGGAGAACTTTATAACAATGTGACACTATTAGGTATATTTAAGGGCTTAGTGAAAAATTAGCAAGCGCTTAATTCATCATTTATATAGCATTACTCCTCCTTAGTATCTCATTTAGAAATATAGATATATTATTATGATTGTGATGATGATTACGATTCTAACTAGCAGTGACGTAGTAACAGTGATAGCTGTACATGGTGTAACAGTAACAGATGTTATACTAAGTAGAAGTAATGATATATAAATGATGAATTAAGCACTTGCTAATACCTTGCTAATGCTAGTGTCGCATTATAAATAATATAAATGATAAGTTTGTGCAAAGTAACCCCACAGATGTTAGGCTAATGGTTTACAAAGCAGCACTTTTCCCCATATTGTTATTGCAGCTATTCTTATGATAATGCAAGCTTTCACTTACTTTTTTGCTCTTGAGGAAGTCCAGCATTGAAGAATATTTTGAGTATTGCTGCTTCCCTGCTTCATACGGTGGTGTTGTTGGGGCCCCACAATGTGATCTGCACATTCCTACATCTACACTGATGTGACTTCCTAAAATATCTGAAGAAAGAAAAACGAGGCCGATTTAAAGACAGACAGCAGACAATGTTCATCCTTTTAACTGCAGAAGTCTAAACTCATCATTTAGCTTCAAGGCCTGCTTTAACCTGTTTTAACACATCAGAGGAAACCTTGCTTTAAGTTTCTATAGAGGGTACAGTGGAAAGATGTGGGATTTTGAAACATGTGGAGGAATGTGTTTCCTTGCCTTGTCCAATGTACACAAAGTGGCTCTGCCTCTTGCAGCACACTCTTTGTGTAAACAGGTTCCTGTGGTCAACGTGTTTGCTCAGCACTCCCATCACTGGAAAACACAAGAAGCAGCACACAACATTTCCCCTGGTGATTCAACATGGAACTGCATTTCAGTTACAGATGAGCTGTACAGGATTCGGTTTTCTTCCAAGTCTTTTATTCATGAAAAAGATCATTCTATGGAGAAAACTTTAACAAAAAATATTACTTTTAATCTTTAAACCCATCCTTGATCTCAGCATCACACCTTCAGCTACTTACATTTAAAAGGCAATCATTTGTGTATCTGAGCGAATTTGTGTCAGTTGAGTCAGTGATTACCTTCTGCTCTACACATCACAGCTGCAGTGGAAAAGAAAATGCAAACAACACTTACAGGTCAAGTGGAGGACGCACAGAAAGAGTAAGAAAGGTTGCTGTATATCCATGGCTTTAGTCCAAATCTACTCCTCAGTTGCCAGATCCTGAGTGTCCTTCTGCCCTCCTCAGATATTTATAAGGGATTGAGCTTTAGCCCCAAATGTCACCTAAAATCCTCAAAGAGGGGCGGTGTCAAAAAAAGTGAGAGCTAATCAAATTTCCATGCTTCTCCAGGCAGAAGCCAACTTCAAAGGAAATCTCTACAGCTTTTCTGTTCCTGCTGTAAGGACACACTGGCTCGAGTGTGTCGACCGGGCCTCAGCTCAGGCTAATGAAGTGCTTAAGTATCCCTGAGTCATTAAAGTGTCGCTCATTCAAAGGCATTAATCATCTTTTATCTCAGGGGGAAGGTGTTTAGCACCTCTGACTTAAAACAAAATCTGTCCCAAACACATAAACACAATCAGCATGGGGGCTTGAGCCTCACCTTTAGAAAACTCCAGCACCTTTGTGTTTATTCAACATGACACCAAATGGCCAAACCCCTCAGAACTGCCCTCTGCTTTTAATCTTCACTGAAAGTAGAGAGATTAAGTACTTACAAGATAAACTTGTAGAGATACAAGTTTATGTCAATATTACTTCTGATAAAAGTGGATCTGGGTGCTTTGCCAGGTCAATAAGGCCTTCTCTCTCCTCTTCAGATATCTTGGCTTTAGCGTTCAGCTGTGTGGTAATCTTGACATTTTGCTCATTTTTAATTAGTATCTCAACGAGGTGTTAATCCTTCTTTGATGTGCTGATGTGATCCCCTCATTTTCACCAGGATCAGCGGATCAACGTGAAGACCATCAGCGCTCAGACACCTTTATTAAGGTGACAGCCCTACAGCAGTTTCAGCTGTTGATTCCTTTCTTTAATTTACTACACATCTCTTTGAAATTCTCTTATAATCTTGGTAATGTTACAATCCTAGTAGTTACTTGATTTGATTATATAGATCATTGGGTGTGTTGCTTTGCTTTTGGTTTTCAAAATAAGTTTCTGGCTTGTATTAATGCAATCTGGTCACATAGGTTATCAAGTTTGGGTCACACATAAAGAAAATTATGGGAGATTGTTTATAAAAGTCACATCCTGGTCAGCCACAACAAACCAGATGAGTTAAGCACATGCAGGGCTGAAGGATGTGGAGGATGCACCAGGGGTAACCAGGTGGATGCTATCTATCAAAATAATATTCATATTATTGCCAGGACCAAAGATTTTCCAGCAGATCTTTGCTTTCCAACAAGATACTCAGGGTTGTCCACTTTACCTGTCTGTGGTTTTAATGTTATGGCCGATCGGTGCAAAATATAGTGCAGCTTTTTGGCATGCTGTCTGATCACAATGTCCAGTATTAGGATCCCACCCTTTCCTCCACAGATGGAGGTTACCTGAGCTTGTTTCTTATGTTTAAACTTGTAAACAGCCAAAATAAAATCAGTTCAAAGGTGACTGTGACAGTAGAAAAACCTCCAGATGTTATTGGTGAGAATGACTTTCAGTTTGCGTCCATTTAAGAGTCTTTCAAAGCATTGTGCGTGCCTCTTTTTGACTCACATTGTGAAGTTCTTTTGAATATAAAATACACAGGTCATTGGAATACTTACAAACCTTTGGAGTACTTGTTTTTAAATAGATTGTTTTATAATATTTGAAGAGGAAGCATAAACCATTTTTTTTCTTTTCTTTCTTATAGTTTTTAAACTGCATTAGGTTCAAGAATTGACATTGGCCCATTTGGATTACCATTAAAAAACCTTTCAATCACACAACTGTATTCAATTCATCTAATGTAATTTTAACCATATTCTGACAGATCACAAATTTCTTGTAACATCATCCTGATATTGTATCAGGAAATAGTCCCGTTGTAGTTAATTCACCTTCCCCGACAGATCTCTTCTTTATTAGAAGACTACAATACACGTGCTTGGATGATCACTGAGATTATGATTGGATTATAGAGACTCACTTGTGACACGAACAAGCAGCTTATGCACGGTGACTGTCAGACGGTCCCTGTGTCCAGCCTGGGTAGCAGAGGTTGACGGGACTGACTGATAACACACATCAGTGTGTCGGCTGTCTGGCCAAGTTGTGTCTGTCTGGTGTCATGGTCAATGTCTGGGTCACTGCTTTGCTCTGTAGCCCAGTAACAAGGCAAAGAAGGCACGCTCTCACTGTTTTTAGTTTTTAGCTGACTGTAGGTGAGGGTAGGATTGCATTTTTTATTTGCAATTCTATTGGAAAATAATGAGTATTTTGAGTTATCAGTGCTGTTGTTCGCAATTTGACAAGTATGATAATTGTTTAGGTAAAATGTTTAATTGGTAATATCAAAATGTGATCCGTGCTTGTCTTCAATAAAGGCTACAATCTGAGGAATGCATGTCCAGCTGAGCCAGCTGAAGATGCAGTAATCACCCTGCCCCAGCTGGCTGACCCCTAAGAATGACATACAGAGGTTAGTTCATGTCTAGAGTTTAAAGAAGCCTCCAAATCCTGTCTATTGTCTGTCTGCGTGGGAGGAGTCCAACACGCTGGGATTACATGGCGTTATGTTGTATTTCCGGATTATATGCGAGGAGAGACACACTGCAGCGTAGGGCGAGAGCTGGTGCAGTAGCAGCATCTGGACAAGCGGTTCATCATCTAAGAAACTTCTTCTCTGAGCATTTTTCCTGATGCCTGCAGATGATTTTCATTTCCTATCATACTGCTCGTATTTGTTCAGACAATCTTTTTCCTCCGGTTGCTGTTTTGTGGAAATTTATTTTCTTGTTAATTTATCAACTTTTAATTTTCTAAAATATTCAACAAGACAGAAAACAAAGAAACTTGGAGGACTCTCTGTTGCCAGGCGAAAAGAATCATGTATTTAAACAACAAAAATAATGCAATAAACATAGAAAGGAGTAAAAAGAACATAAAAGGGAAAACATGTGAGTACAAAGATGTTTTTTTTGTTTTTGTTTGATTTGAACATTTTTAACTGCAGGATTGCATTTTATGTGTACATGTCAATTAGATCAAATCCAATACAGAAATAATCATTCAAAGTAACTCTTGTTGCATCTCACAGTATGATAACAGCTGGATTCCCTTCTTCTTCTCAGGGGCTCACTTGAAGACAATTCCTCGCCAGGAAGAGGTTTTTACCGTGATGTCTCCAAATTTGGGCAAAAAGGCGGGGACAAAAGAGAATGAGACAGGGGATGAGGCGGCGATGCAGCACACAGCATTTGGAAAGGCCTTGTATGATCTGACCCATTCAGAAAAGGTGATGAATGACCTGATATGTGGACGTCGAGTAGGGCTTTACGAGCTCAGAGGGGAGATTGGGTCTGGCAACTTCTCCCAGGTTAGATTGGGAATTCATGACCTGACCAAAGGTGAGATTTTTGATGCTTTGTCTTTTGTTACCTTCATTATCACATCTTGGGTCATCAGGTAGGAAATGACTATAAGTTGTAAATTTAAAATCATTGTTATTATATCACATATTTACATCAGAAATAATCCAGTTTACATCAAGCTTTACTTCCTGTTGTTATCATAAATAATATTATGTTATTTAAAGCAGAAAACAGTGTGTGATCCATATTCATTGAAGATAAAATATACAATTAAAGTGCAGGTGTAATGTTGAATTGCTCACAAAAAGCTACGTCTGCCATTTATCTCATACATGAAGCAAACACGGGCAATAAACTGAGTTGTATTTGGCTATCAGCACTCAATACATAAATATGTGTTACACTGCATTCCCCAAAGAAAAGATGTACTACAAGTATGTGATAAAGATGTAAAATCAAGCTTTTCAGGCATTTTATAAGGGACGTCTTTCTTAAGTATCTCTGTTATTTATATATGCTGCAAAGTATACAGAGGCTTTTGTGCCAAATGACCTCATTCACCTGTTAGATGTAAGCTATCAGTTGAATGCACAGACATCACTTCAGTCAGTCTGGGTCACTGCAGATGTCAGAAGACAGCTAATCTCAGCCAGCCACTAATCCATATTGTTTTGTGCTTAGCAGTCAGTGTACGTGGTGTAATATGACAATGATGCTCAAACTCGTTTTTATAGCAGATTATGCAGAGATAAAGAAGATTGAATACAGGAAAAAGGTAGAAAAGAAACTGGAAAACGTTGTTTTCTGGTTTCCTCACTGTTTTGTTTTTGTTTTGTTTTGTTTTTGCCTTTTTCTCTCATCTTACAGAAAGAGTAGCTGTAAAAGTCCTGGATAAGGCGCGTTTGGACAAACGCTCGCAGGGTCTTTTTGCCTCTGAAATCTCTTGCATGGAGAAGCTGGCCCACCCCAACATAGTACGCCTGTATGAGGTGGTGGAAACATTCAAGAGGCTCTACCTGGTGATGGAGTATGCCAGCGGAGGAGAGCTGTTCTCCCGCATCAGCACCAGGGGGCGCCTGTCAGACCTGGAGAGCAAGCTTGTCTTCTCACAGGTCCTGTCTGCAGTCAGATATATGGTAAGTTTAGAGAAACGTTCAGCTGATCATTGCTAAGGTTACGTTTTGCTAGAAAATAAAACAAGTGACACTTAAAAACTTTCATAAGTTTGTATTAAAGTTCTCATATCTTAAAAAAAGTACTACTGTCAGTTATTAAATTGTAAAATAACTTTAACAGTCTTTCTTTCTCTTTTTCCAGCATGATAATAATATCGTCCACAGGGACCTGAAGGCTGAGAATATCTTTTACACCAGCACATACTGCATTAAAGTGGGTGATTTTGGTTTTAGTACATCCTGCTGCCTCAACAATGTCCTCTACACATCCTGTGGTTCTCCGCCTTATGCAGCCCCTGAGCTGTTTAAAGAGAAAGGCTACATTGGTCAGTACGTAGATATCTGGGCAATGGGTATTTTGCTTTACTTTATGGTGACTGCCACAATGCCATTTAAAGGCAGTAACACAGGCAGGCTTAAGTGCTGCATCCTGGAGGGCTCTTATACAATCCCCTCTTATGTACCCCAGTCATGCCAGGATATTATCAAGGGCCTCTTGAGGCAACTTCCACTGGATCGCCTAACTATGACACAGATCATGGAGAGTGACTGGATGAGAGGCATTGAATACCCTCAGGTCTATGCACCTTGTAGATCTACCCCCTTTCATCTGGCTGAACCCAACTACATCCTGACGTCAGATGATCTAAATTTAAAAGCAATGCTGGAGGATCTTGGCATCACCAAAGTTCATCTTCTCAACAACAACCTAAACTTGCAGAGCCCCATTACTGGTGCATATAGGATTTTGCTACATCGAATTCAGAAGAGGAGGTCTGTGGAAGCTGTGGGTTACATTCAGACATGCACCAGAGAGTCTCAGAACAGACTCAGATGGAGAGCAGGTTCAGATGGCTTGCTAAACAAGCGCTACTCTGTGGTCTGTGTCATCATGTAGTTTTTGTTTCTTAAAGAAATTAAAGAGTACAGCACCAGCTTTGGGAAACTTGGCTTAGTTTCCTGAAGAACAACCGCGAGATGAGAAGAGGGGTACAATTACTAGGAGCCTATAGCTCAGCAATAAAGACCTGCAGACCAGTGAATGTGGCACCATAAATGTCTTTATTTTACATACTTTTTCATGTTATTTATCTTCTTTTATCTTTTTTGTTACTGCTCATTCTATCTATCCATCTATCTATCTATCTATCTATCTATCTATCTATCTATCTATCTATCTATCTATCTATCTGTTGTCATATGGAGCTGCTTAAGGGGTGAAATGGTTTCATTTTTGAGTTGTTTTTGGATAGGACGTTATTGTAAATGCCAGTGTACACACCGACACACTCTGTGACCATACTTGGCACTCTTTTGTAGCTTTAACGAAGTGAGCATTTAAGCCAAATGAGCCTGACAGAAATATTATGAGGGCTGACAATGACCCAGGTTCATCCATCGGTAATATAACAGGAATGTGGAAGTATCAAAACCCATAAATACATGTTCCTTTTTAAATGAGCAAAGTATTGATTGGTTTTAACAATACGTGCATGTTTCTGTGTTTTGTTTCACAAGATCATAATACTCCATATATCTGAATTTTAAATATGATTTTAATCTGTTTGTAGGGTTTTCATTCATCTTTTCCTGAAGCTTAGATTCTTTGTTTTAGTAACTCTTGGACTTTGAAAAAAAATGAACTGGAAGTTAGTGCAACTGAAGAGGAGTTTGTGTGCTGAGTCACCTTTACCTGACTAATTGTACCTTACAAAACATAAGCAGTTGCAAAAGATTTTTGTAAAACATATGTCAGTTACTGACATCCTTTACCAGTATGACAGGAAATGACCTTCTTGACCCTCTTCTCTGTTTTGTCTTTTGTCCACTTTCCAGTTAGTGCTTTGACGCTTTGCTCATACCTAGGTTGCTAGATCTGTACTCTGGCCAGCTCTAGCTTTAGCCATTAGCTTTTTAAAAATGTTCATGTTTAGCTGTGTGAGGGTGATTTAAGCGTCTGATTAGGTTTGATGCTAAACCATATACTTGCACAGTTGTGTGCATGTTATGCTAGCATGAAATACACCGGCTCATAAGCAGACTTACGGTAGGTCAGTCACCATTCTGGGCTGAGAATGCTGAGAAATTGATGGATTGCAGTTCCTGGGCAGCGCATTGGTGCAGCATGACTGAAAATTATTGACTTAGGCCAGCGGTGGGAAATTTTCCCAAGGGCCCATATGAAGCACCAATAAACTGAAGTCAGTTCAGATCAATATTAATTTTATTTTTTTATAAACCACTACTGGTAAGGGTAGATCTTACAATTTAGTAATGAAATTGTGAAATAGCATAGTAAAATACCAACATTTCTTCACTATTTAATCAACATTACCAAAACCAACTGTGAACAAATGGCCATGTTTTCTTTTGCAAAATATCAAAAACTTTCTGTAGACTGTTACTGCACATAGTTTAGGTTTTTCATTTTTTCTTCTTCACTAAGAGACATCTGGTCTATTTTGGGCTTGAACAAATAGATTAAAGTCGCCTTGGATCACCCAGAGAGGTGATCATTACAGAGAGAGGCTTTGTATTTGGATTTGTTGAACTTTATCACTGAAATTGTTTGTTCATATATAAAGGTAGATCAAAAGTTTATTTCAGTCACTTTATCATGGATCTGCTTCAAAAGTTTTCCCTGTCAGATTTGGACAGACAGTGGTTGTAACACATGTTGTAAAACAAGTTTGTCCCATTTCAGCCCGAGCCTATCAAAACTTACAAATCACTCCTTCTTGTAGTCCCTTTCACTGAGTGCATTGATGCCAGCTCATGCATGATCTTAAAGTCGGTCATTATCCAACATACAAAGATGTGCTGTGTCGTGAACATTGCAGCTCTGATCCAGAGCCAAGGAGAAAAAGTCAAATTATCTCCTTTGTTTATGAACTGAAGCTCCAGATTTCCCACAATATCCTCGATCTGTTTTATTTATTTATTTATGCATTTATTTTGGTTGCCTATGAAGCACTCTGGTTGTTTTAAATTCTTTTTTTCTTGGGCCATTTTAGTGCTGCAGAGTCCACCAAACTTTCTTTGATAAACACCTCAAGTTCTCCTTTTTCTCCACAAAATAAGCACAGCAAGTTTACTTTCAAGTTCAGTAAATAAATATGTAAAAGTCCATGTATTCTTAAAAACTCTGCATTTTGCCTCAGTCTTTCTTTTTTTAATGTGAACCAACATCTCTCAGAAATAGCATGCTCACACCTCTCATAAATAAAAGGTACAAAGTTGTGTTGTGATTTCCTTCCTTCAGGCCATTCTTTGATGGGAAATCTACCAAAGAGTGTTTGGTGGTTGAAACTGCACGTTTGTCCAGTCATTAAAGTTCTGTTACATATTTGTGTCACATATTAGACAAATATTTTTCATTCACTGCTTTCACTGGTCAGAGTGAAAGTAAGTAGCTGTGTTGACAAGCCTGGGAGTTTGATTAAAGTCTTAAATTATCACAGTAATAAATATAATGTCAATTTCAAATAACTTTTCCATGTGTAATCTTTTGCAACTTCTTTCATCTAGGTACTTGATTTGTTTCCCCTTTTTTTTTTTACATTTTCATAATAACCATGATTTATAGGCATCACTCATGTCTCTGGCACCAAATCTGTTTCACTTTGCAATTTTTGGAAACAAAATGAACCAAATGAGGAATGGGATTCACACATTTATGTTCCCGTTGTATTTTAATGACTTCACAAATAGATAAGTGCCGCTTACCAGCAGCAGTTAAAAAGTGAAGATGAACAGGGGGGGAAAAAGTCAAGTTTTTTTTAAACATAAATTCCTCTGCTTCTCTAATATGTGTTCAAACACCACTTTTCCTGTAATGCATCACTTTTGTTTCAGTGTAGGGTGATTTTCCACATGTTTTGATTTCATGTTTTTCCCCGTCCCCCCCTCTAAAACACAGATGCTAAAATTTCTGCTCAGGCTGCCAACTAGCCAGCTCTTTCTGCCTCAGCATGCACATTCATCAGCATTACTGTTGTATAAACACGAAGGAACAAAGCCTCAGCAACAAAAACCTTTTTAAGTTGCAACCCAATTCTCTGACCTCCGATGGTGGTACAACTACTAATCATACTCGATGCAATCTTGGATGTCCATCAATATTCTTTATGCCACTGATGTCTCAGTAATTATTTTGTATTTGTCAGACTATCCATCACTTTTGCCTTTCAGCTAAGTTGGCAACCTTTTCAAACAAATACTTCGACTGCATGCAAGGAAGATTCGTTTTTTAAAATCTCAATTGCCCTGTGCTAAAAAGTTTTTGTTCTTTTTCTTTTAGCAATACCAATTTTAGCAATACCAATCATTCTCACTTCTTTCTCACGTGCACATTAGCTGTCGGCAGTGTTCGTATTAATTCTTTAATCAACAAACACAAGAAAATTAGTACATGAGCCATACTTTACCAACTTGCTTCATCTTGTTGCATGCAAGAAAAAAAAGGTCTCTGCAGAGCAGCATTGTCTGAAAGCACCTACATTACTCACAGCGAGATTTTATCACTTGCAAGTCTCAGCAGTAGCACAGATCAATGAATGTGCCCAGCACTGTCAAATCAGATCATACTGCTGTTAATCATCATTCACAGATACTTCATTGAAGATTTGCCTGCGCCTGATTTCTTTCTCAAGAATTTCCTTTTTGTCTCTCTCCTTGTGTCAGAGGATTTAAATCTTGATATTACAGTCGCTTATTTTGATACTATTAAACTGAAGAATTTGTGCATTTTGTGCAAAGCAATTCAATTTGAAGCTCCACTAAAAGCTAAGGAAGGAAAAATAGAGAATGCAGCAATTTTATTTGTTGGAGGTGGACAAAGACTATCAGAGCATGCAAGGGCAAACCATGTGCATCCATCACTCTAACACAAACTTTAATAGTAATCTCTGTACTGCAGTCTTCTTTGTATTATTGAAGTAGTAGTTAAACGTCAAGGTCTTTTATGATTGGGGCTGTTTACTAAAACTGATGTTTAGGACTGCACACCCAGGATTAGAAATGTTTTATTTGAATTAAGTAAGGGGGGAGCATTAAAACAGCCTCATGAAATCTCTTGAAGAGACCGCACATGTAGACATAAATACTGGCACGGATGGTACGCAGTATGAAAATAATATGATAATATTGCATTTACCAAAGGTTTTTAAGTCCAACTTGTTTATTTACTCAGACTTCAATTCATCCCATTCTGCATATACTGTGATTAACTGTGTGACAGCAAAAAAACATCAAAACCTCTGTGACCATGATACAAAAAGTTATGTTTATTTGAGTACATATACTGTAGTAAAACGTGCAAACTAAATACATGAAAATATATGAAAAGATTAACATTTAAAACATGGACAAAATTATGACTATTTTATTTTTGCTGATTTCAAAAAGTAATTAAAGACTTGAATTTGAAAGACATCTGGACACATTACATAAGAGCCAGCTATTCTAAATAGTACAACATTTACACTCAATGACAATTTAGATTATTAAGCAGCTTGTTGAATATCTCATGTCTTAAAAGGCAAGAAACAGTAGCGAATATTTTCAGTGAATTCATTGAAATATTTCCAGCCATGCATTGATATTAATTCTTCTGTGGCCATTTAGCTCGAAGAGTCCAACCCAAAAAGAGCAAAGTGAAACTTTAAGCATTTGACCCTTATATTTGCACAGAGTGAAAGCAAAAGTAATGCTACAAGATTTCTTGGCAGGCTTCCACAACTGCCTCCCGTAAGACACCATAAAAACCACCATAAAACCACACGTTGCTCGTTTATAAGATAGCAGATGGCAGAAAGATGAACGGGGGCCAATGTTAGCTGGCAGCTGCCCTCAGCCTCTCCGTGAATGTCGTCGACGTCGCTGTTAAGAACAGAGACAACAGTGTGAACATCGGTTTTTCAAATGCGCAAGCAAATCCTCAGGCCGCAAAATGGTTTTAGTGATTACCATATCACTGAGCTTCTCTGGTCTCTCGTCAATTTTTTTCATCAGGTCATTTACCCACGTTTCTTTTGGGTCTGTGCAGAGGATACGGCCCCTCCTCATGGTGAAGCTGAAAGATAATTGGCACAGGTGAGGATTATTTTTAGCATGCAAATAAAACAGACATGGGTTAAAGAAAAAATCACTGCGAGTTCAGAGAGGCTGCTGTGTTAAAGTGCTAAAATGGAAGTTTTGTATGTACGTTCACTTTCCACTTAGATTTTTGCTAATTTCACTGTAATTATCATTATTATTATATAACAATGAAGGGGGTATTCGTCAGAGGAACCCCTTAAAGACATCATGTCATAGGTGCTACAGTACAGACGCAACCAGAAAAGCATTTTTGTGACTGTTTATTTAACAATAATAACGTCACTATTTGTTGTACATCCACTTACATTACAGCTGGGATGTTGCAGCCTCCATCTGTCTTCTGATGTCTGTACTTCACTGCGTGTTTTTGAGCACCGGGGCTCATTGATCTCACATACTTTAAACAGCAGTTATCATAGGACACTGAAAACATAAAATCACCATTTAACAACATGATCAAATTTGCACAACAAAGATATGTTGTTTAAGACAAGTATGCAGTGAAGCAACATCTACCCACGCACACACTTCAGCAATAAAACAGCCACCTTTATCTCTGCTGTGTCTTCACGCCTCTTTATTGCATGCTGCATATATGACACTGTTTTCAGATTTCTTTCTTTAAAATTGCTGTACCTTGTGCCAATGCCAGACAGACGCAGGAAAGGATCAGCAGGAAGAACAGAGTGTTGAACCGCATGGCGAGGTCTGTTGTGGCAGCGCTGAAAAAAAAAAAAGGTTTATAAATATAAGAAATAGGTTTTAAGTTTTTCCCTGCAATCAACATTATAGGCCTTATCACTCTGTGGTTATGGTGCCTCAACCCCTCCCATGCGTTCATGATTTACATCTCAAACCTTGAACCTTGAACAAATATTGTACATTAAATGGACTTGTTACCGAAATGTATCATTAATCTTTTAAGCTCAGCAATTCTACCCGGTAAAGAAATGTTACCCTATTTGCAAAAATAGGACAACTTAGCTTTGGCCATTAGACTGAATTAATATGCATCCAATGCCCAGATGTGTTAAGGAAACAAGATTCAGAACAAATAAACATCAAATCAGTTTCTATTTGAATCTATTCTATTATCTATTTCCATGATCTTACAGCAAAATGTGTTATAAGATCATTACTTTCATTTAAGTACTCTTACAAATACTGCAAAACTTACTGAAACTAATCCGATGCAATAATAATATTACTATAGTAATAAAATTAAATGACAATAAATAAACCTATAATTAGTAAAGCATCCATGTGAAAACCGAGCGCAATGTCTGTTTGTAAAAACGAATATGATAACTCACCTCCCGTTCTCCAGGTGTAGACTGAAGCTCTAACGTTGTGTCTATCAACTTGTGCAGGCACAGCACTCTTATAAAGACACTCAGGGGCAGTATCATATTTCCATAACCTTTGTACCAAGACTTTTTTTTAACTCTTGTTTGATGAATGCCTTTAAGGCGTCAGCCTCAGGTTTCTTGATTGGCATTGCGATTTTATGTTTTGCTGATTTTATCCAAAAAAAAAAGTAAAAACACTTGAATGAACTCGCACTGATAGAAACTTGACTTTTTGCATTTTCGTGCAAAGGCACGTGTCTGAGAGGGATCAAGCTGGTCAGGTGCAATGCACGCTGATTAAAAAGACAAGATTGGGCCAATATAACGATAAAAGGTGAAACAAAGAGTGACATGTCCCCTAATACTGATCAAACAAAGACAGCAGTTAGTTTCCAGTAACTAGGTGGATCCCAGTTTATTTCTCATGTTGTTGACATGCCCTACTTTGGTGCCTTTAAAAAAGCTCACGCATTAGATCATATAATTTTTCAGTCAATCAGTCATTACCAGCAAAAAAAAATCCAAGTTAGAGCACGCTTAAATGAATGTTACCACAATAAATGCAAATGTTTGTGCTTATTCTCTTTTTAAAAAATCCTATTTGTTTCACTTAGTTTCATTTCATGTCTTTCACGTGGTTGTCAGTGCCACACCTGCCTCAGTTGCATTCAAACACACTCCCGGCGTGTGAAGGCGGAGGTTAAACAAATGTTTAGTGTCCATATTATGCTTTATTTATCTGAAATATACATCTCTAACTATAACATTTACTCCTATGTTGCTCGAGGCTTTGTAATTGGAGTGTGGCATACTGTACTCTAAAGGTTTTGTGACCTCGCACTGACAGTTACATATTGAGAAATACTGTTGAATGGCTGCTGAATGAAGGTGTTAAGTGAACTCTTACTTGCGTAACTTGTTCTCAATTCTTGTCCAAAAAGTTCTGCTGGGGAAATCCTTGTACTTAACAGTATTTAATGGCATTAACAGAATAACAGACTTGAACATTGGAACTTTTTTGGTAAACTTTAGGTGAATATCTACAACAATAATCCCTGGGCTTGGGCTCCAATACTAATCTGTGGCTGTTGACAGTTACATGGGTAACATCTAAACTGTGAATCTTGACTGTTGCTGAGATATACGGGTGGTAAGGTTGAAATTTGGTCTTGACAACATGAAGACATGGACCCAACCTGCTAACTAAAAATTCATGATAGTAAAATTAGAAAAAGACTGAACTAGTAGGGCTTGTCTGGAAGGGTTGCCGTGAGAAAGTCTATTCTCTCTTAAAAGAACAACTTAGGTTGGTAAAGTTACACCTAAGCAAACCATAAAACATCTGGTGGAAGTGGAAATGTGTGGCTATAATGCACAGCATCACATTCGGAGAAAACCAGACACAGCGCAAACATCTCATTCCAACTGTCAAGCACGGTGGTAGAGGTTGGAGCTAGTCACAGGATCTCCAACATCTTGCAGTGACTGAGTTGACCATGAACTCATCTTTATATCAAAGTATTCTATAATCAATGTGAGGTCATCTGGCACAGTCAAAGGTTGGTCATGCAACAGGATGATCCTAAGCATAACTGCAAATCTACAACAGAATGGCTAAAAAAAGAAATAAATCAAGGTGTTGCAATGGCCCAGTCAAAGCCCCGACCTCAACCTGTTTGAAATGTAGCGGTGGTAGGAGAGAGAGAGCTGTGCATAAATGAATCCCTGCAAACCTCAATGAACTGAAGCAACACTGTAAGGAAGCGTGGGCCAAAATTCCCCTACAACCATAAGAGATTGATGAATCTTCCAGAAAACAGTTACTTCAATCTATTGCTGCCCAAATAATCAATCGTGGGTTTTACTTAGTTTTTCCTACACACTGCTTCTGATTTATTTTGATTTTGTTTCTGTTAAATAAATAATGGCACAGTGTAACATGTTGCGTTGTGTCATCTAAGGTTTTTTTTTTAAAATCATGAACTGATACATAAAACTTTAGAACTGAATGAAGGCATACTTTCTTTGGACCATCACTCTCAAATTTGGTAGATATTAAAATGATTATCAGTTATAACACTAAAAAATATGGTTATTATATATTATACAGCATGCAGACAGCACAGGCAGTTGATCTAAATTCACACACATTAGTATAAAAACACAATCATAGAAGCAAAACTGACATTTTTTAATATACGCACAGCACTGCTTATAGTATACCATATATATCATATTTTACATTTATTTTATTGATAAAATCCTATTTGTAGATATTTTTAAAAACCCACTATTGCCATCAAAAGAAAACAACAAAATCTACAAGTTGGCCACCACATGCAAGAGAAAATTAAATAGGTATAATTAAGTAATGAGGTTAAATAAACAAAGTATCCTACTCTCCACTGAGCAGGAGCAGACTATGACCACACAGCCATTACGGTGCAAAGGGCTTCTGCACTGGAGCATAAGTGCTCTTGCATAATTGCTGATTGTATCAAACTGCAAAATCAGAGCAGTGGCTGCCACAGCCATAACAGTCAAATATCCAACTAATAAGACATTTCTGTTTATGTCAAAATAAATAACCCTTTAAACAGCAAAATAAGGATTTAGTTGAATATTAAAATTCCAAAACAGAAAACCATTCCCATTTCTTGAGTCTTTTCTTTCTTTGGAAACTGGCAATTGTGTAACTTGATAAGATCTTTCTGACACGCTAAGAGCAGATTTACTACATACAAACATAAGATTTTCCTTTAGATCTCTTGATAAATTCATCTTAAAGCCTCATTTGACTGAATCACTCTCAAACACTGTAATCTTTTCATCTGATAACATAAATCTTCACACCCCCACCTATATTTTAAGAGCACACAGTAAATGTATGGTGTTTTTCTATAGAAAAAGAAACATTTTGATGTCTATCACAGAATAAAGACGAAAGGTTTGTTGTTGTTCACTTACTCTTAAATATGTGGAAATTCCCTGCAGGTGTTACGCAAAGTTTTATCGGACCATAAAGACTTTATACCAGCATAGTTCACAAGGCCTTCCGGAAATATGAGAACTCCATTTTGACCCTTGGAACTTACCAAAAAGGGGACATAAAAAAGAGACAACAAGTCTTTGTATTTTAAAGTCATAAGTGCAGGTTTATATAACATTAATGTTGCCCAACCTTACATGATAATAATAATTGCCTTTTAGGCTCAGATATATTGACTTCAGAACCAATATTAGTCTGATATGTGCGGTGTAGGGGATACATGTTAGCGCAACATTAAACGCTTGTTTACATTCTTCAGTATTCTCAGAAAACCTGACTTTAATGTGGGAAACTTGAGCTGTAAGAGTACATCAGGATGTACATGCATCTTCCCTACAGTCATATTAAGTTCTGACAAATGATAAACTTTGCATTAAAGATACTTGTCAGAATCCATCTATGCATATCCACCCGTGTTAATTCCTGACAAGAGGCTTTCAGCGGCACATTTAGAAGGATTCTTTTTGAACGCCCTGTGACAGGTACTAATGAGCCTCAAGCGGCTAAGTGGACATCTGATAGCACTCTTTGGTGTGAAGCGTGCCACTGACCTCTCCCTTTCTTTTTCTTTTGTGCCTGCAGGATACTTATGCTCACTTCAGTTATTTACTGCTCCCACATGCAACCTGCATGTGTCGTAAAGAAAGAATCTGCATTTGATGCCACCCAGGCTCTAAAGACGTTTACATACGTTCAGATTGCTCTGATTAAATTGTCTCTATTTTTTATTTTTTTTTAGAGGGGCAATTCTGGTCTTGCAGTGAATATTTCATGTTAGATGTGCGGGTTTGATCACAGTACAATTCAACTGAACATTCATTGGCAAACCAATGAGTAGCTTTCTAAGAAAAAAAAGGTTGTTGGCTGTGCCGAGCTCTGTTCCTGTATGTGACTGCATATTTGAAAAATCCTGATGGATTAATGGTATTGAGTATTTGTCAGAAGATGATGGTCTGCTGCCAAAGCTACTTGGACTCTGTCTGTGCAAAGATGCACAGTGTTGTCTTCAGCATTCCCGTCAGATAATGTGATATGTTGTTTTATCCCTTCATTATCGCTGTCATTTAACATCTCCAAGAATACATTTATCATTGTGTGAGAAACTTTACTTTGGCACGCAGTACAAAAAAAAAAAAAAGAAGCAGCAGTATAGATGAGGACAGGGCTTTTTACTCGCTGCAGACTGAATAATGATACTGATTTAACATTTACTTCTCTTGCAACGATCCATTTGTAAACTGCAGTGTACCAAAAAAAGGAAAAATGAAAGCAAACACATGGGAAAGCTATCCAAAACAAGTTAGCTTCTACTATTTCTTTTTCAGTTTTATTATTATTGCTTTATTTTGAAGCAAAGGTCAAGGAGTTGCAAATCCATCCTTTCTTTCCTTCCTTCCGCTCTTCCTTTCTTTTGGAAGCATGCTTGTGAGGAAGCCTTCAAAATTCATTTGAGGTTTAAATTTTAACTGACTGCTTTCTGGAAGGAAAAATAACCGTGTCAACATGATCAAAAGGTTCTTTAATCTCAGGGGCATTGATTTGTGCCGCAAACGTCACTATGATTTGGCCTTTTTGCTTTTCATGTCATCATTAAATCAACCAGGAAATGAATACAACAAACAGGCGTAAGTTTACTATAATCTTACAGGCCTCTGCAATAACAAGTATTTTTTATTGTCTTTTGATGTTAGGTTAGGACATCAGACCTTCAGTAGCCAGTTGCAAGTGCAATAATGAGATTTTATATATTCATAAACATATATAAACATACACAAAGTCACCTCTAGAGATGCAACAATTTCCCAGAAGTTCCGGGAACCTTAATGGCCTACTTCACAGAACATTTATTGCAGTATCAAAATAAAACCTGATTGTGATGGCAGAACTGACACAGACCACAGTGGCAGACAAATCTATGTGTGCATGTTATGTAGTAATGTGAATAGTAAGATTAGGTGGATGCATATTCCTGTCCTGTCCCAGACCTGTAATTTATTCCATCCATATATCAGTGATATATTCGCTGAGTGTTGCGGGGGCTTGGATTCTGTTTGAGCTATGACTGTGAGACTGTGAGAGGCAAGACACGGGTCACCAGTCAATCACAAAGCTGACTCTAATGATAGATGAGTAATTTTACACCTGCAGGCACTTAGAGTTGTCTGTCAGAGTCTGGAAAAAATGTATTGCAGACTCAGGGAGAAAATAGGAACACTTGGAGAACACTTCAAACACATTTGGCACACTAGAAAACCCAAAACAAATTACCAAATATGCACATTTTTTGCAGGATTCGAGTTGAAATGAAAGACAACACTGCTAAACTTTATGGACCAAAGAGTATGGCACATTACAGCTGTAGACCATGGACCATGGAAAACCATAGGATGAAGCTCCCAGTGCACTGGATTTGTGCTGATGTTAACGCCAGAGGAGATTTGAAATTTCTAAGCAATATATGCCTCATCACTCATCAAGCTCACTCTGTAACTTTACGGTGCTGTGGTTGCTAAACATTTCCACTTTGCAATAATATCACTGACAATCAATTGTCGAGTATCTTGGAGGGAATCATTACTATGGTTGAGCTGTTTAGAATGACTCATTCTTTTACAAATGTTAGTAAAGGCAGGCTGCATGGCTAGGATCTTTTATATGCATGTGCCAATGGGGCGGAAAACAGCTGAATTCAAAGACTAAGACATGTGGCCCAATACTTTTGTCCATATAATGTGGCTACGTTGAGCATTTTTGGAGTTTTTAATTTTCCCCTAGCAGTTTTATTTTATTCTAATGTATTATGCAATCAGTTCTGCCCTTCAAATGACAAGTTTCAGTAGATAAGATCCAACATTATACCACTGAACAAATAACATGGTTTTGGATTTTGTGGAAGAAAGTTACATAACCATAATTACCCCGTGTTTTTGTAGGGGACTCCCCTCAAGGGTTTCATCTTTAGGTATTAGTTACAAAACTCTGGAAAATGAGAAGCCTGTTATGTAAAAAGTATTGTGAATCTTGGACTACTTCAAAGTAGATGTTATCATTACACAGATATTACACATATCAGGAAGGCAGAAAGTCAAGTTTTGCACCACGCATGGATTCTGACTGAAAGACTACTTTTTACCCTCCTAATAATGCTACAGGATCTGCCATGATGGGTTTTGACTCATTATGATAGAAACACCATCGAGTGCATTAGAGTTTGGTAAGCGTTACAGAGCCAGTTTGCTATTCGTACGCGGGGGAGTGTGTTCCAACTTTTGAGTGAGGGGTGTTTGTTGCCCGTAGACGCAAACACAGTGATGCACAGTGGACATTCGCCACACCAGTGGATAAGTACAAAAGAGAAACTGATATGACCCAAAGCAGAAGCCAAGCTCGTCTGATGGATGACAGCCCTCAGCAGCAAAGAGTATAAACACATGCAGTGGCTTGTTTGAGGGGAGCCTGAGGGGAAATCTCAAGCACGATTATTTCGATTATTATTACCAACTTTTGGTCAACTCAGGCAAACTCTTATGAAATGTCCTCTTTTCAGTGTTCCTTAGCCACATTTGAGCAAAGAAGGCAAAGATCTGGTTTGTATTTATGTCTGTGTTGTATTTAATTATTATTAATTAAATAATTATTATTACTATTGTTTTATGCTGAACTTATATTTCTTAATCTAGTTCATAACTAAGCAGATGGCTGTGCCTGATATGCAGGGAAAGACCATTTATTGGAAGATGAAAAGCAGGGGTACTTACCATTATCACCAAATAATGAATCACATAATACCAATATTCCCACATTACAACATTTCTAATCGTAACAGGATGATTATCCTGTTATCTTCAGGAAGAATGTTGTATTACGATAAGAGATGGTCTGGAAAGTTTAACAAGTGCTATGGGAAATGCAATTTCAAGTTGGCTCAACTTACAAAAGGCTGATGAACATATAGCTGCTAACAAAGGCCTTTTAAAAGAAGGCTAAAATTATTAACATTTTATTATTAGAAAGAATTTCAAATCTTTTCAATTTAATTAAACATTCTCACCATAAAAACACATAGTGTCACAGCTTTGCCTTCACTGTCTGAGCATGCACTATCTGTATTTTATGATATTTTATGAACGTTTAAGCTCTAAGAGTGATTCTTGAGCCACTACAACCACATCAACACTTGTAGCCAAACTAAATGTGCACATGTACATTCTCAGCATTACACTTTTTTTTAAAGAAAGTTTAACACAGTTGTCTGTTAAACATGCAAAGAAAAAAGAGAAAAGAAAACAACTCAGTGCTTTACATTTCACTTCAGGCACTTTCCAAACTGCCAAACTCAACACCACAAAGACTATGACCTGAAGGGTGTACTAGAAAGTGAGATTAATGGCCTACTAAGCTATGTTGGGTTTAAAGTTGTAGTTTCTGTGTCACAGAAGTGCTTGTGATAAATTACCGTGGTAACTTATGCCAAACACATCACCTGGTCAGGTGCAGGTTATGTTTCCCAGTCTTAATTTAAAATCTTATGGAAGCACCATAGTTTGAATGATTATTTTATTTACAGCATGCAGTATAACGCAATATAGATTCTCTGCTGGAATATATTTTATATGTGCAAGAAAACCACACAATAAAGTGCAAACTGAAGGTTGCATACTTGAGTCTAATCTACAGCTACGTCTCTTTCACACTACTTGAATTGCAGCTAAAAGAACACAGAACACACACCAACAATACCGCTTCAGTCAGTGAAATTAATTTCCAATTGACTGGCCCACAAACCACAGCTCTTAACTGTCTAATGTGTAGCCACACCTTAATCACTTAACCACCATTTATCTTCATGATCCTCTGATAATGTCTCTGATTGGAATAGGGGTCACTCATAGGGATCATTTAGTGTAGAGGAGTCACGACCGCTGTGGTTTTATTGTTTTGAAACTCCTTCAGGAAACAAAGGAAATACCTTCCGCCCATATTTTTCATGATACTGTATCCAGAATAAACATATGTAGTTTACACATTTGGATATCTGCGTGAATGCTTGCTTACTATATGCACGCCAAAATTGCTTTGTACAAAGAATTTGCAAAAAGTACAAAATGCAAACAGCAAACCCCCACAAGTCAATAATTTTATTTATACTGTCACTGCAGAGTTGGTACTTCATGCACTTGTGCAGTTTATGGTTTGTGTTAACCTCATCCACTGGAGAAAATATATATTTTATATATTTATTTATTTATTGTTTTTTTACAAAAAAATATGAACTGCTTTTGTAGTTGGTGTTGTAAAGTTGCCTGGAGTTTCAAAGCTTGTCCCGAAGCCATCAGGAAAAAATGTAAACACTGCTTACCTGTAACAGATTTGCTCAGTTGCAGTAACAGTTCGCCCTCTAGTGGAAGCAAAGTGGAACTGCACTGACAGGACACTGGAAAAGGACATTGAACGTTATTACACATTTCTGTGCAAAACACATAGCTGTTAAAATCTCTTGACAGCTGAAAAAGTCCACACGTCTAGAAAACAAAAACAGAGAAAATGGGCAGAATTCAAATTCATCCTTAGGAAAGGATTTAATCATGACCTAATCACTCCTATAATAATGCACTTCATGTAAATAATGTGAGTCATGATCACACAGTGTTTTGGTTACAGGCCTGGTAAATTCCAAGTGCTACATCAGCGCAGAGATTGCTTAAATGTTATTTATCTATTTGTTTGTCATCTTGGTATTGCTCATTTGAGTTATTCTTTACCACTCACGATTTTTTTTTTATTTAGGCGTGACGTTTATGGCGTTATCTCTGTACTGCTCTAGCACTTGAAATTTCATTGCTGTAGGACTAATAACAGAGTCTGATCTTATACTTATGTTATCTTAAAGAATGCCGTTTTTGCGTGCACGTGTGTGTATGTGTGTGTGTCTATCAAAGCCAATTGGCACTGCAGTATAGTCACTGTAAATGTGGCCTTTACAAACAACACCAATGCGTAAACCCCAGGAGGGAAAAAAAAAGGGCCAATAGATTCAAACTAACAGGGCTTTTTACTATGAGGTGACCTTGCATAAACCATGTGTATAAATGTAAGCACAGTGATTACAGGACACACATCATTTGGAAACAGGAAATATGAACGACGCCTTGGTTGTTTACCTTTACTTTACCGGGAATCTGATTAAATCACCACTTAACACTGGCTGTGGTGATGCTTTTGTGACGTGCTCGGAGGCTGTATTTTTGTTTTTCCGCCAAACCACTGTTTTCTAGGTTAAGAAACCTGAGCCATTCATGTCATCATCTGGTGTTTGTGTGCAGCTTTATCGTAGTTAATAATACCTTTAAAGTCTGTGTTGGTACACAGGGGCCTGGGAAAGCTGTAATAGTGGGTTAAGCGACCCAGGCAAACTTCAAGCTCTTCCTTTGGGCCAGCTGAATTATAAATAACCACATAAACATATCGATAAGCATGGACATATACTAGAGTTTTGGTTTACTAAAAGAGTGGTGGCGAGGGCAGGGGTCGCTGGTTGCATTAGCAAACGGGAGTCTCTGAGCACATTGCTGCCTTGACTGGTGTTATCTGCGCGGTGGGTTGTGGGTGTGTGAGCGTCGAAGTAAAATGGCGGACTTGGCAAACGAAGGTGAGTAAGTGGCAGAATGAGAAAAACAATACAGCTACTGTGGCCATGTAAAGCGTGTCTCTTCGCGGTTTGCATATTTGATAGCTGAAATCAAGCAACTGTGGCACACGTAAATGGCGACTTCAGGTGGATTAATAACGTCGCGGCGTTTATAAGGTTACAACGTTAGCAAACAGGCTAACAATGCTAACGCTGGGCTTGGGGTAATACCTGGAATGTCTCGGAACGCCCTCCAGTTCTGCCTGTCAGTTAGCCGGTTTACCTCCTAACGCTAGCACCCGGCTATTTATAGTCGGTGTGTGTGTATTTGTTGCCATTTGTGGTGAGCTAAACGATCTAAGGTGATTATAAACACCAAACGTGGCTAAGCCATATTTGAAAAGCACAGCTTGTAACGAAGCTAATGTGTAAGAATAACAGTGATTGGAAACAGTGTCCGTGTTTATTTCATGTTGTTAGCTTTGCGTTTTAGGTTTGCTTGACGTTCATTTAGGCGCGTAGAGGAAAAATGTCAGCCAGTCAGACAATGCTTCGGTTTAGCCTCTGCTTGTTTGCGCGTTTTCTTATTCCATCAAAATCAGATTGTCATTATGTTGGGCTTCTAATATGGGAGAATGAAGTGAGGACCGTAGTGACATTGTTTGTCAGGCGACATGACTCATGCTGGTTGGAGCGCATTAGCAGGCTAACTAGCCATCGAGCTAAACCTCCCTCGGCTTTAAGGAACAACCATTGGCGCCGACTATTTACTGAAAAGGGTCAGATGGGTATATATGCTAACTGGTTAACATAAGCAAGGGACGCATTGGGGCTACTTGTATTTCAGATGTGAATAGAAGTGTTTCATGCCGGAAATCTTATATTCATTGGACAAGTTAGCTGATTGTGAGACAGACAGCAGATACAAAGGTGGGGGTAAAATGTAGGTCACACAACATTTTCTTTAGTTTCACACAAAAATGATCAGCTTAAACCATGCGGAGCGTGTGTCAAAGCGGTGATTGTCGCTTCAGGAAACAATCGTGGCTATGTGCTGCCGGCTTTTGGCTGATATCGCATGCATGCATGTTTTGCGCAGCTACAGCGATGCTACACCTGTTCAGTGTGCAGGCCTGACCCAGACAGAGGAAAACCTTTGTCTGCTAACGTTATAGGATTACACATCTTACACCAGGGTACAGTGTGAACATAGAGTCGTTAAGTGGCTTGAGCTGACATCATGTTATCGCCTAGCCTGGCTTTAGCTATTCTTGTTATGTTATGATCATAGATTATGGAGGCAAGAAAATACCGATGAAAAGCGTCATAATTTCTCATTTAGTTATTTATTTATTTAAAATTTCACAGTCTCTGTCTAGTTTGCCTATTCTGCAATACGTGTATTTGCATATCTTACGTTTGATCACGTTATTTAGTTTATTGTGGATTGTTCACTTTAGGTAAACTTAATGTGATTTAATTGTTCCAGGAACTTCTAATAGGATTGTATGGTTAAGTTTAGTGTACTCGGTTTGATGGCATGATTTCGCCTGGCTGGTTGACACAGATAGAAATCAGATTGTTGTTAAGCTGCATTTTTGCAGGTCATCTTTTTAAGTTTCTTACATTTAAATTAGTTGTGAACAGTTGTTTAACTCACTGGAATCTTTAGCACAGCAATTTTTTAAAAGTTAGACTTTTTATTTTTAATCAGCTGTACAGTCTATAAAATAGAAGATGTCCAAATACACTTACAATGTTCAGGTACACAGAAGAAGTAAGCCACAGCATAGGGTCTTTTGAGCATGAAGAATCAGACAGACAGTACTGCTGCACACCTTAAGTTAGTGTTTAGATGACTAGCCTACATCTTTTCTTAACAGACAAGCCTGCCATAGCGCCCCCTGTGTTTGTTTTCCATAAAGATAAACCACAGAAGGTAAGTTTCTGTTTTGTTTTCCTTTTCTTTATCTATAAGGGCTAACATTGCCTTTTTGAGTTTGTAGATGTTATTTATGCCAACATTTAGTCAAGCTCAGTTTCTGAAAAGCACACATCCTAGAAAAGTTCTTGGATTCAAGTTTGTCACTGTTAGCAGCATTTCCTGCAAAATCAGCACACATCTTTCTTGCTAGTTTGTTTCTAATTTAATTAAGTCAAATTTTCATGAATTTAAGAAAGCTACCTAGGATTTATATGAGTAATGGTGCTCCTTTGGTATAAATTAAAAAAAACCAAACGTTTTGCACTTCCTTGCAGAGATCTGCTGAGGGCTCAAGTGCAGAGGATGGAGAAGGTAAATGAAATATCCAAATTGGCCACTTTGTTTGTCCATGTTATCTTTCTGTTTAAACTGACATACAGTCATTATCATTTCACTTCATTCAGATTCAGATAAAGATGAGGGAAGCTATACTCCCCCTGTGAAAAGGGAAAGGACCTCATCATTCCCACCCCCACATTCTGGTAAGGGCACGTGATGACTAAGCAAAGCAGAGCGTTTACTTTATGTTGCTTCTTGCCTGTGGTGTACACATTGATTTGTATGCTGATTGCAGTGTCTGTCTGCTACTTTGCAGTTCCTAAGAACAATGTATTCATGCCCTCAAGTTTCTGCCAGTCTCCGACTGGGAACTCTGACTCCGAGCCAGGTGAGCAATCTAGACCACTATTAGTTTTCCTTTCACAGCTTAAAGGGCCCCTGTGGTAAGAATCTCAGTATTAAAAATCAAACACATCAACAATTTAAAGCAGTTGGCACAAGATGGTCACTAAAACTGGTAAATAGTAGCTTTTGCTGACTTAAAGATTTTAAGTCACAGATCATTTTGGTAATTCTAAAAGTGTCACAAACTCTTAACTCTCACCAAGTTGACTCTTAGTTCTAGTTGACTCTTATTTAGCTATTTTACTCTGATTTTGTCCATTAAGTTTTGAGTGCTGTCCTTTCAGAGTCTTTACTGCATAAACATAAACTGAAAGCTAATTTTTCTAAATGTAGTATTGGTATTTACTTTGCAACTTTTTAAATTATTCAAAAGATTTCAGCATCTTGTTTTTGTTTGGTTTAAATGTAAGTCTTTGTATTTAGTCTGGTTTGAGATTTCACTTCTCCTTGCTCATTTCTCATTTGGCTCTCACTGCTCCAAAGATCTGTCAGTTTGTGTCATGTGTTGCACAAAGACCGTTCAGTATACCAAGCAGGGAGAAGTCTTTTTCTATATCTTGTAATTCGCCACCCTCTCAAAACCTTCAGTAATACAGAGAATTCGTTTTTCTTTTAAGTTATAAGAACAATATGGCCTTGAGTCGCTTGTGATCCTGCCTGCATATAATATAGCTCTGAACTGCCAGATTCAACTGGAAAACAAATGTATGATGCTTGAATTTGAAAAAGGCAGAGTTAAGGTTAACATTAGTAAATACATAGGGTTTGTTATTATGATTTCCTAGTGTCATGTGGTGATAGCTGACAGCAATTTTCGTAGTGCCACTGCTACAAAGGACTAGCTTATTGGGTATTAAAAGCTAGTTTATTTAGCGCCGTCTTAGGTGCAGGGCTCTAGACTAACTTTTTGACATGGGCGCACCGGTACGCCTAACTTTAAAAATTTAGGCGTACCGGCACAAAAGTTAGGCGCACTCAAATTTTTCAACCGCATTGCTTAACACCGCAGTTTTACATGTGCACTTTCTTTGGGGGGGAAGTCCATACAGACAATATTCATTTCTAAATTATTAACTAACAAACTTGTGCTTAAAGTGCTTTGTCAATATCGTAGAAAATGTTAAACTTAATCATCATCTTGGCCTCCTCTGACGACCTGTTTGCTGCTGTCTGTTGCTGAAAGGCAGTGGGGAGAGGGGACACTTGGGCAGTGCATTTATTGCAGCATGTAATATGTTTCCTGGATACACTGTGCTTTTTCAGCGTTCAAAGATTGATGGCACTGTGTCAGAGCACTGGCTATGAATTTCAGACAGATCAGGCCTTAACTTAACAAAAAAGTTATCAATCGTTCTTTTCATCTTTTCATATTACCCACAGCTACATCCACTTCTCTCAGGCCTAGGCTGCTCACTAGGGCTGGGTATCATCACTGATTTCTATGATCCATTCGATTCCGGTTCTCAAAGTCCTGATTTGGTACAATTTAGCCTCAGACAGTCAGAAATATTATAATTCTGATCATTTATCAGTACTGATACATGTGAGACTTTATCAAAATTGTGAACATCACAGCAGATGCCTTTGTGTGAAAAACATGAAGGAGATTTTCCTGGTCTGGTTTTTTATAGCAGATAACCTTAAAATATTCTGCAATATTCTGCAATTT